CTTAGCAACACTTACAGGCCAACGCTCTGCATCATAAAGCATAGCAGGTCTCACCATCATCTCATAAATTGTTCCATTAAGTCAAAGCGGTACTTTTCTATCACACAATAGCCGGATGTATTCTTCCACTTTAACCAACCAACTTGAACTCTACTAATAACATCCCCCATCGATATCACCATCACTTTGAACAATGTACCCGATTTATCTAAAATGCTTCCTCATTTTAATGACTTAATCATCAATTGTTACAACCCTGCCACAAGATCTACTTTCATGTATTCAGTTCTAGATCTACTCAAACGAAAGCTTTAGATTCAAAAGTTTATGTTGTTTCCTAAATTCTCTCAATCTTATCCACAAGAAGGATATCATCAATAAAAATCACAAACCAAAATACATCCTCCTATAAATTTCCAGTAAGCACATTCATAACTAAAGCAAAAAAGATAGTGGCTTAAAAAGAGCGCAAATGCAATCCTATTGAAATAAGAAAATTCTTGGTCAACTTCCTTGTGTTCAAACACAACTCTAATATACATATCTTTAATGACTTGAATAAAAACAATATCAACCCTGCTTTTCTAAAAATTTCCAAAGTACTTCGATTGGAACCTTATCATAAGTTTTTCTAAATAGACAAAAATCATATGTAGATCCTCCTTAATCTGTACTTCTCCATCAAACCTCTTAATAAATGTATATTTTCAATAGTAACTTGCCCAACATGAATCTAAACTGATTTTGAGAAATTTTTATATCACATTGTATCCTATGTTCAATTATTCTCTCCCATAACTTTAATGCACGCCACATTAACTTAATTTCTATATAATTTTGACATTATTCTGTATCATATTTATTCTTAAAAAATAATCAATATGCATTTTATTCACTCATCAAATAACATTTTAGATTTTAAAATAATATTAAAAATTTTAATTAGTCAAGAAATTCTTAGATTTAAATATTTCCAAACATCTATTGAAGTACCATCAGTCTTACTACATTTCATTTTCTATAGAGCATCCTCAACATTTGTTAATCCAATGGTGAAAATAAAAAAAACAAATATTATTGTTTATAATTATAAAATCCATAAAATCGGTCATATTTCCATAGTCTTCATTGAAAACTTTATCAAAATATCTCACATATTAATGTTAAATATCCTCTTCTACAAAAAGTGCTTTTTTATTTTCATCTTTAATCCATTTTACTTGATCTTTACTTTTCTTATCTCTTTACTTAATTAGTTTGTAAATATATATATCATCTTCTTTAGTATTTAATCTATAATGAAGATCATTAAAAACAAAACTTTTAACATCATGGCATATTCTTTTGGATTCCCTATGACCCACTTAATAGTTTTTTCAATTCTCCAAGTTTTTATATCTAAAATAATTTTTATAACAATTTTTTTTATTTTTTATCTTTTCTTGCACATTGTTTTTACACAACAAATTATATTTATTTAAAAGTTTTTCTTTTTTATTCTTTTATAATTTTCTTTATTAATACTCGTTACTTATCTCACACTTCTTCATAAACTTCTTCAATTTTAATATCTTGAAGTTTATTCATAAATATAATTTTATTTGCATATTTTAAGTGACATCTAAATCTATGACTATTTCATTGTATTTTTCATTTTTCAACCCTTCATCTTAAAATCTAAAACTAATGATCGATTTCGGATACTTAAATTTTTACTTCAAATCACCTTACAATCTTTGCAGTGCTGACGATTTATTTTGCTCATAAGAAAGTAATAAATTTGCTATAAACCTAATCATACAAGTGATAATATGTTCATTTATTTTCTTAAATAAAGTAATAATATTATCAAAAATCATAGCCGCCATAAATGCTTCTAAAATCATCCATCATATTAATTCTTTTAGATCATTCAAGCTATTTTTCTTTTGAACATACATCCAAACCTAACATGAGACTATAAACATTTATAACATTATCTTAGTATCAACAACAAATTTTAAAGTTATAATTATATCTTCAATTCTGTTAATTCTTACTAAAGGTGCAAATGAACTGAACCAAGCCGATTAGAACTGTACTTTTAATTCTTACTAAAGGTGCAAATGAACTGAACCAAGTCGATTAGAACTGTACTTAAGCTTGAGCTTGTTTAAAAAAATTTGAGGTCAAATCGAGCTTACAGGACTGCATTCAAGCTGAAGATTGTTTCTAAAATTTGAGCTCGAGCATGCTCTAATCGAGCTTTATATTTGTGTTCAAGCTTAATTCAGGTTTGAATTTGTTTTTTTCTAGTTCTTTTCATCGTAATTGAGTCATTATCGTGTTGAATAATGAGTAAATTATCAAGATACTTAGATTCTATTCAAATTAACTTTTTTGAGCAAATTAAAATTATTGTTATTACACTATCTATTTTCTAACTAAATAAGACTTATCAAACAAAAAATGAATAGTATGGATGAGCTATTTATTTTCTAATAGAACGAGTTCTATCGACATATAAATGAGTTAATTGTTGAACATACAAAAATAAATGAGCTTTTAAATGAAAGAGCTATTAAATAATTAACGAAAATAAGCATAATGCGTAAATAAATGAACTAAATAAATAATTATATCTTATTTTAAGTGCTATAAATTAAAACTTAATATAATTTAATATAAAAGAATTTAAAAAAAAGCTTTAATTGAGTTTATTTAGAAACTTATATTAAGCTTTAACCAATTTTATTCATAAGTATTTTATCCATCATATTTATGAACATTATTTGAAATTGTTTATCGACTTTCAACGAGCATGATTGTGACCTTTAAATGATATTATTCGCTAATATAAACAAATAGAACGTGGTGTTCAAGCTTTCTTTATCTAACAATCAAACATTTATAAAACTGTTCGAACTTGTTTAATTAGTTAATCAAACAAATATAAACAAGCTCTCATTGGAACTGAGTTATGAGTAGCTGGTCAAACGCTCGACTCATCTACACTTTTAATTTTTACAATATTTTCTTTCAAACTCTTAGCTATAATTACTCCTACAACATCTCTAGTATGACTTAGCTATAGATCAAAGTATAAAACATTAACTATCGATCTCCATAATTTTTTATCCAACTCATTTAGTTTCTTAAAAGCAAAAAAATAATTATATTACTATATACCATAATATCTACTAACTCCAATAATTTATCTAAGAGAATACTTCTATTTCAAGTTTTCATCTTAAATTGCATGAACAAACTTCTTTGTCTGCATTTGTTCGAATGAGATAATCCCTGCTTAAATATTACACCCGGAAGTTGGTGTACAACCCTAGCACACTTTTCACTATATTCAAGCAGTACAGGACATCGATTCCAAGAAACGTCAAAGCATTGACATAGTACATTAAATGATTCATATTTTAGTCTTCGACAAAAGTTTACGCTTAATGTCAACTGACTAATACAACCCTCCACCTTTTTTTGCATCCGAGACATGGAATCCTGCAATGACAATGTTAGATTCAAGCTTATGGGCGATAATATTACGAAAGCATAAAAGCATTAGGAACATCTGAAAAATCAAATTTTATTAGCCCAGAGTTGCAACGTGATAATAGCTAGCATCCACAAAAGTATCCATTGCATGCAATTTTATTAGCCCAGAGTTGCAACGTGATAATAGCATCCACAAAAGTATCCATTGCATGTGTTGAGAGTCTAGGCTATTACACATGTATTCTAAAACATGAAAGACATAAAAAAAAGAGACCTTTGATATGAATAGAAGAAGATTGTATTCGAAAGGCAATCTATTTAGATGTGAAATTTATTTCAAAATAATAATAATAATAATAAACTCATGCCCTATAAAGCATTCCCCACATAACCCCACAAGTCCAAGAGAAATTATTATTGTAAAATAATCAATAAACCAAAAGAATATTTGCAAACTCTTCCATTGCATAAAATAGTTAATAGAAACACCTCCTTACCTCCCATCAGCATTAAGGCTGTTGTTAAACAAACCATGAATGATTAACAAAACCAACCCTCAAAGCTCCCTGGTAACTTCGTGAAAAGTGATCGTCTATAAAGAATCAATAGACAACACAAGCAGGGATGCATACAGACTTTTCACAAGCAAGCCTGAATACAAACTTTTTTATGCCGAGCTTATTTTGTGTTGAGCATAACGAGGCCATGCACGGAAACAATTTACTTCAAACATATTTTTTCCATTTTTGAAAGAAAGTACACCAATGATTGGCATGCTGCAAAAAAACCCTAAAACTCCAACAAAAGAAGAAGATTTACAAGCATACCAAACAATTCCCATGTATTTGCATATCAAACACCTAAAATTCAAATTTTTTACATACATAGCACCTTACCCATGCATAAAAGTTAAAATAATGATATTTTTAATGTGATACCAAAGATTTGAATGATACAAATGAAAAAGTAAATTTTTTGTATTAGATATGTAAATACATATAAATTGAGTTGCATGTAAATGACACAACAAAAAAAATATTATTTATTTGATTTTAATTCAAACCTGATAAACAATCCTTGGGATTGTAATATTTGAGACCATAAAGAGCTAATTTATTGAAATACTGCAAAGAGAAGAGATAAACACCCAAAAAAATGTTCAATATCCTTCCATAAAAAAAGGTCATTGAGTTTAAAATCAGTAAGAAAATGTATTCACCCTGAAATTTTTTCCTAAACCTATTTTATTTAGAAACTGAAAGAATAAAAACAAATGCACAGGCACATTATACACAAAAACTTACCCATACCCAATGGTTCGTATGCTTTAAACAGGCAGACCAATCTTAAAATAAAGGAAAGAGAAGGGACGGTAAATACCTTCTCGACACGCTCCAGTTGATATTTAAACTAGATTCTTAAACTTTTTTTTTTTTTTTTGTTAATCTCGAACCGCCCAATGATCATGAAAACAGGAGCTCCAGGCCAGCATCCACATGGTACGCAAAAGGATATATGGCAAATTTTGTCATAAGCCAAACTATGTAATTACAAAGATAAAGGAAGATAAATTCAGCACGTTCACAGTTAAATTACAAGTCCTTCAAAGTCTAACAACTAAGGCCCAACCTACAAGACAGGTTTTGCTGAAAATAGTAGCGGACGTGAAACATCAGAAGAGCTACTAATAAAACAGGGATGGCTCTTCATCAGTTTACAGCTCTGCCCTCGATTCATCATCCAGGACAAGCTCCCTATAAGTTGTAAACTCTTTGATGATTGATTCGTAAATAGCAATCCCTTTCAAGTATTCAGCTTTGTTCAAGAACTGCAAACCAACAGGAACTTCAAGAAGCAACCACAAAAACTCATAAAAATGCCTTACTATACAAAAATGATCTGAGAACAAAAAGGGACATTTACACGCATACCACTCAATTCTTATGTGTTTACATATCAAACTCCAAAACATCAATTTTGTACATTCATACCGCCTTACCTATGCATGAAAAGGGTGGATTTTACTTTTTAAAAGTTAAAAAAACTTAAGTTTTGATATGATATGAAAGATTTGGGTGGTATAAATGTGAAGAAGTAAAGTTTAGATGTTAGATATGTAAATTCACAGGAATTGGGTGGTATTTATGTAAAAAGGGATGCTGATAAAAGGGACAAAGGAAACAGAATAGAAGCACATTCAATTTCCACTTATAGATATTGGGGACGGTAACGTTGGCTAAAAATCTAAGCATGTATAAATTTATTGTATTGGCACATACACAAATCACTAACCTCATTATGGTCATGGAGTAAAATTGGAGTATTGGCCATTGGCGAAAATCCAAATGCTGGTATACCACGTGCACGGAAATAACGAACATCAGTGGATGCAGGAAAAATCTCTGGTTTAGCAAGCCTTCCATTGGCCTTTTGTACAGCATCGACTAATAAAGTCCACCATGGGTTGGAACTATCAGCAGTTGTAATGGCTGGATTGCCAAACATGTCATGCACAGGAACTTTCTGAATGAACTGTCCAATCTTAAAAGCACGCTTAGTACAATATATTTATGGATTCATTACGATTAAGCAATAAAATTTTAGATATGGATAGCAGGAGTAAGTGCAAAATACTTGACGTAATCATATGTAACAAGTTAAAATAATCAATTTCAACTTATTTCAAAATGATATTGTTAACGGTGTGAAATGCCAGAGGCATGTAACCCTAAAACTAGTACGTGAAAAGATGAGCAAATTAGTTGAAAACACAAAATGTGCGTGATAAGATGAGCAAATTGACAATCATTGTAGGTATTTTCTTCTGTAGTTTTTCTTTATTTTTAAAAATTTCATTTTTATTTTCCTATATTAATCATGCCTAAAATGTCGATATGAGAAAGCATAGTGTTCTCAGGCTTATTTTAATAATTGTTATAGCTTTGGTTCGATTCACTATTTTGAGTGTGACATTGGTGACGATTTATATCAAGGTTAATCTAGAAAGAAACTATGCTTCAACGCCTGAGCAGTGTTTAGAAGTTCTTCTTCCTGAGACTTCATGTTCGGTTCATTCATCAGTAACTTTTGCAACCAATCAGGCAACTCTCATAGCTTCCTTGATATGGAATTTTTACTTCCAATTTTAGTTTTCTACAAGTTGAGAAGTTTCTCTACTACGGGATGGTAATTGGCTATTAAAGAAAGCTGAGAATTTTGGCTCCACTCCATGGTCAGCCGACCGCTTCACAAAATCTAGGAAATATTTGATTAGGGATATTTTTGGAAACACTTTTCTTAATTTTTTTCCCTTTCTATTTTACGTTACTTTATTTTTTATTTCAGAATTATTTTCTTTCATAATTTAGACTAGATATATTTGGCAAGTTAGTACATTAGGAAGGAGATTGAATTTTCTAAAAAAATGTGCCTACAAGTGAATAATAAAAATTAAGTAATTTTTCCTCCTCATATCTGTTTTCAACGTGGTATCAAAGACCAGAAATCTATCGTTCGCTTTTGAGGACTCCGTCTGCTTCGTCCTCTTAGTCCTCTAAAAACTTTGAGTTCGAAGAATTGCCAAAACGTCATCTCCTCCCGTTCGCTCATAGCGCTATGTGGTTTGTATCCTTCAGTTAGTGTGTTACAGATCGTCGCTCGACCGAATTGTTCCTTCCGGGTTCTTCCTAATAGTACGTCGTAGATCGTAGGCACGGGACCAAGGAAGCTGAGAAGTTTGGCTCCACTCCATGGTCAGCCAACTGCTTCACAAAATCTAGGAAATATTTGATTAGGGATATTTTTGGAAACACTTTTCTTAATTTTTTTCCCTTTCTATTTTACGTTACTTTATTTTTTATTTCAGAATTATTTTCTTTCATAATTTAGACTAGATATATTTGGCAAGTTAGTACATTAGGAAGGAGATTGAATTTTCTAAAAAAATGTGCCTACAAGTGAATAATAAAAATTAAGTAATTTTTCCTCCTCATATCTGTTTTCAACGTGGTATCAAAGACCAGAAATCTATCGTTCGCTTTTGAGGACTCCGTCTGCTTCGTCCTCTTAGTCCTCTAAAAACTTTGAGTTCGAAGAATTGCCAAAACGTCATCTCCTCCCGTTCGCTCATAGCGCTATGTGGTTTGTATCCTTCAGTTAGTGTGTTACAGATCGTCGCTCGACCGAATTGTTCCTTCCGGGTTCTTCCTAATAGTACGTCGTAGATCGTAGGCACGGGACCAAGGAAGCTGAGAAGTTTGGCTCCACTCCATGGTCAGCCAACTGCTTCACAAAATCTAGGAAATATTTGATTAGGGATATTTTTGGAAACACTTTTCTTAATTTTTTTCCCTTTCTATTTTACGTTACTTTATTTTTTATTTCAGAATTATTTTCTTTCATAATTTAGACTGGATATATTTGGCAAGTTAGTACATTAGGAAGGAGATTGAATTTTCTTGTGCATACAAGTGAATAATAAAAATTAAGTAATTTTTCCTCCTCATACCTATTTTCAAAGTGGTATCAAAGACCAGAAATCTATCGTTCGCTTTCGAGGACTCCGTCTGCTTCGTCCTCTTAGTCCTCTAAAAACTTTGAGTTCGAAGAATTGCCAAAACGTCATCTCCTCCCGTTCGCTCATAGCGCTCTGTGGTTTGAATCCTTCAGTTGGTGTGTCACAGATCGTCGCTCGACCGAATTGTTCCTTCCGGGTTCTTCCTAATAGTGCGTCGTAGATCGTAGGCACGGGACCAAGGAGGCAAATCGTCTCCTCTGCATTCTTCCATTATTTCTACAGTTAGAATCCTTTGTTCGTACATCACAATTGCAGGATCCTCTCGTTCGTGCATCTCAATGAATCCATTGATTCAATTTCAGCAGAACAGCGCGTCACTAGTCCATAAAACAAACCTAGCTTCCTCCTGCCACCAGACCTCCTCCTTGCAGCCAGAAATCTCCTCTGCCAGCATGAAAATCCTCTTTGTTTGTAATAATAACAAATTACAATTTTTATTAAATATAAGAAAAAAAAAGAAATTCCCTGTTCAAGACACCTGCAAAGCATGTGTTGTTCATTCGAAATCTCACCGCAAGTGGGAGAATTAAGATGAGGTATTCCCTCATCCATTCGAAATCATCCCATGAAAGAGAGAGGGAGAGCGTGAGAGAGACAGAGGAGGAAATGAGAGCAAGAAAGGGGAGTTGTGCCCTAATCGAAGAGGAGGAAGAAGAAAAAGTAAAAGAAGAAGAAAACAAAGAGGAGATTACCGTAGAGCTGCAGGAGTGTTCAACCAAGCCTTCCTACGGCTTTAACAGAGCGAACCGAGTGAAACGAGGAGGATGGATCGAGTGGCCCATAGAAAATCTTTTCCACGATCTAGAGACGCTCGATCGAGCACCTGGAGGGCTCGAGTGACTCACCTGAGCCTTCTTCTTTTGCCTTCGATGTTCCATCAGTCGTGCGAGCGGAAGAAAAAGGGAAGGAAGAGACGCGCAATGCTTTTTGGACACAAGACAAGCTCTAGTCGTTGCAGAAGTTTTTCCGGCGAGTGTGAGAGCTCGATCGCGACTTCCTGGGACATAACCGAGCGAAGGTGGAAAAGGAGAGCTCGTGTCTCTTGCATAAAAGATTTAGGGTTTGTTTGGGGCAGCTGTTGATTATTTATAATTGCTGATAAGCAGATTATTCTGATAATCTGATAATCTGCATATTATCAGAATAAGTTGGCTTATTGTTTGGGACAGCTTATTCAAAATAGCTTATTGATAGTTGTGGCTGTATAAATGACCTTTCTGCTCTTGTCTGGTAAAACTGTTTGAGACAGCTTGTTTAGAATAGTTTATTGATAGTACAGAAGTATATAGTGTAGGAGCATAAAATCATCACAGATCAGTTCCAAAAAATGAAATACAGTTCTCACACTATCGTGAGTATCAGAAAAAATAAAAAAAGAATAATGACAAGTACAGCTATAATGAGAAATATTAAAATATTCAATTGCAAACTCTAGCTACGTCTATCCTCAGTTGCACTATCAACTTGGAAAAACATCGGATTCTCATCATTGTTGGCAGTGTAATAAGTGGGACTGTCGGTCAATCGAAAAAAACCACAACGAGCTGAAACATCCTTGCGACAACCGTAGAACTGTCTCCCACTGCTATGAGGCTGACGCGACGTGAGTAACGGAGCCGGTAGTCCACAATAACACAAAACAACTCTGTCTGACACTAAAATCCTAGAAGTCATGTCGGTATAACTGCAAAAAAAAATAAAAAATTGAATGTCAGATCCTAAAAAAAATATCAAAAAAATACACATCAAAATGAATCTATAATGTACTAAAAAAAGAAAGACTTGGTAGATTAGCTGTCACAGATAACATCTTCTATAGACTCCTTCAAAGCAGTCATCTCAGTCACACCCTCCGCGCATGAACTTCAAATTCATTACAGTCATTGTCATTCTCAGGAACTGAATGCCCGATCAAAAGTTTTGATTGTTTTTCATAGACATTCAGCTCATCGTTATCAACCATACTGAAGTCCGTATTTGAACGTGAAAGATGTCGTCGGATGAAGTTATGAAGTGTCATTGTTGCTACCACAATATGCACCTGCTTTTGAAATGGATATGTGGGCATGTCACGTAGGATGACCCATTTCTTCTTCCAAACCTCAAACGTTCTTTCAATTACCCTTTGTAAAGGAGTGACGTTTGTTAAACATTTTTCCTACCACGAATGGTGCCGCTTGCTCGCTCAAAATCAGAAATATTATACCTAGTGTCTAGATATGGCTTCAGATAACCCCTCTGCATAGGATATACAACATCAACTAAATAGTATTTCTCTGTTATAAAAGACATTGTTTTTTACAATAAATACATATAACTTGGAGTTTTATAAATCAAAACATACCTGAAGGCGGATGAGGAAAACCCTGCGATCTATTCCTAATAGCATAGGAGAAAATCCGACTGTCATGTGCACTCCCTTCCCAACCCGCCATAACATATGTGAAACACATGTTAAAGTCACGTATCGTCATGATATTTTGAGTAGCAGAACCACTTCGACCAATGTAAGTCACCTTGTTATGGTAGTTGAACCACTTCGACCAATGTAAGTCACCTTGTTATGACTAGGTAGTCGGGCATCAACGTGAGTACCATCAATTGCACTTATGCAGTCCTGTTTTACAGGGTTAGAAAATATTTATATTTTGGTTTGTACGTGAAGAAAATAATAGTTACATTGAAGTAAGGCATGTAACGGGGATTAGTTGTGATTTGTCCTGGAGTATTAACAAATGATGGATCCTCTGGTCTGACGATTTTAACGGCTAAACTAACAATTGTTTGTATGCCTTTGGAGAAATAACGGAGTATTGTCTCCGATGAATGCTGAAATCTCTCCATAGCACCTCTAATTGATTCATTCTGTGACAGAATATATAGTGTTATAGCCAATACCTCCCTTATCGTCGTTCAAGAAGAACCTTGGAGTCCGTGATTCAGAGATAACTCTTGGAGGAGATCC